GACACTTGTCTGTTGTACAAAAAAAGAATAATTTTCAACTTCCACCCCCCAAAAAAATCCCCACAAAAAGATCCTCTGAATGTTTTGTTTAAGAGCCTGTCCATGGAAAGAAAGCCATGGGGACGCAATTAAAGAACTACAAAGAAAAAAAAATAGCGATGAAAATCTCCCACTTTCTTTTGATGTGCTGCAGTTTGAACTGTATGCGCACACAGAAATATGAACAAAGACACACCGAACAGGCATGTCCTTTCACATATGAGCACAAATAAAATATGCTCTTTTCAACTCTCGCATTGATGCGTTTTATTGTATTTAAAGTCTGAGAAATTGAAGGATGTCACGATTTAAAATAATGAGGAAAATAGTCTTCTGTTTTCAACCGCGCCTTTGGCGGTGTTTGATCAAGTTAAAATACGGAGACGATTAGCCGCAATTAAGGTGGAGTGAGACATGTAATTCTTAGTTTCACAGCGTGTTGTACAGGCGACATGATGCGCGAGTCAGGTGAAATAAATCAGGGAGGAAAAAGACGGCGGTTTAATAGGCAATGCCATGAGAGTTTCCCTTGTGTGGGGCTATTTTGTCAAGCTGACCTCTTAAAGCCGCTGAGCGGCTGAGTTTTGCATACATAATTAACTACAGTTAAATGTCATCTCTAGCATCGTCGAACCAACCCAGTGGGTGATGTTCCCCCTCCCTCCTTTTTTTTTTTTAACTTCGGATCCACATAACTGCAATTTGAAAATAAAGGCCACATGATCAACGTAAACGAGTGTGGTGGTGTGTGCACGCCTGCGTGTGTGGACGCTTCACATCCATTTCACAATCTCAAACGGCAAACCTATTATCTAAAAACAAAAAGCACTAAAAAACTAAATCTAAACAAGAAAAAAAAATATGTTACAGGTTTGCGAATGCACGCAGCATTATTTTACTGTAAATTTCTTTGGACATCGCCGGCCTCATGTTTCTGTGCGACTACAAACGTTGGAGTTTGCCCGCAGCCGACTGCGGCTGATGATGTCGATGTTGTTTTCGGAGAGCGAATACCAAATTAAAGGCAGGATGTTTGATTAAGTGTGCCAGGTGATCTCAGGAGAGGGGTGCAGACACAACCTCAGCCCCCTCATTCATTTGTAAACCTCCAAAGAGAGGCTTGAAAGACAGGAAGTGGGAGTGTACGCCGTGTATTTACCCCTTGATTGGGAATACAAATGATCAAATGCGCGAGGGCTTCGAGTGTATGGGTACACGGTGTCAGCAAAGTAGCGAGAGGCAAGAGAGGAGGAGAATAGAAGGAATTAGGCTGTGATGTGAGAGAGCATCTGAAAACTATGGATGTAACGCCGCATTGTAGCACCTCACCTTGAACACGTGGCACAGAAAGAATAATACATGAAAAATTGGTTGCAGATCGGTTGTGGGGATCAAATAAAAATCGGATTCAGTCATACGCTGTTTGTTTTCAGAATTAACAGACTCCTAATTTTCTATTCTTGGATACTTTTAATGACTAGCGAGGTAAACAGCCCAACCAACCAAAAGCCAATTATAAAGTTATCAGTACAATGTCTATGCAGCGGAGAAGCGGTGTGTCTCAGAAGAAGAAGAAAACCAAATACCTTGATCTTCCAGCAGGAATTTACTATTTTTCTCTTCGGGATGCTTGTCAACACATTGATTTTACTGACACAAGCACTGTGTCTGTGCAATTAATATTGTTTATTTTATGCATATAGAGTACTCAAACTTCAATTCTTCGCAAACTCGAATATGATTTTTTTTTTCCAGTGATAATCAAAACTAAGGAAAACAAACTAAATAAGCAAAAGCCATAAAAAGCAACAACAACAAAAAATGCCTGGTGTTGTTAAAAATGGAAAGGTAGGTCCTTTTGTGTCCTATTACCGTTACTCGATCATTCAGATCTTTCTGCTTTTTTTTTGTTGTTGTTTTTTTAAGCAAACGGAACTGCTACTGGCATGGTAGCATTTGTGAAAGTCAATAAATCTAAAATATTATGTGTGAAATTGTGGGGAAAGACCATTAAGGGGGCGGGCAGGCATGGAGCCAGTGTAAGGGTCCTGTCTGAGGAAGGACGGCTAATTCGGGACAACTGTGAACTCTGAACCTGCTAAAAGCACGACCATTGGTCAGTCGGCCCGCCTAATAGGGTCCACATGTGCTCACAGCCTGTGTCGCCTTAATTAGCAGGATCTCATAATGTTTGCTTAAATCAACATAAGGGCGCTTCGTTCTTTTGCTCTTAGTTACACTTGAAATAGACATAAAAATCCAGCCTGTGGCCTTACGCTTTGAATCTCTTTCACTCTATTTATACGTTCACACAAAGTGACACCGGGGCTTTTAAAGTGAGAATAATACAGCAGGCTTTGGAGAGAAATGAAGGGCGGCTTCAGTGGCTTGCAAACAATGTGTGGCTGCGAAGCTCAGGCAGAGAATCACTCAGCATTAATCAAGACTGCAGGCCTCTGTTTGACTACACAATGCCTCAAACATCCCCCTGTGTGTAAACACAAACATCAAATGCCACGTGGCATGTCCTCGTCGCTAACAAGCTGACTAACAAGAGACCTGGAATTCCACTTAATTAGTACCTGCTCGCTTGCTTATTAATCCAGCAGCCCGGGTGAAAAGATGAGAGCAGGCAGCAGAAAGCAAAGAATAGGACGGAAAACAACTACAGTCATTTGCAGTGTTAAATATATTGATGTCAGTGTACGTTCCGTTTCGGGTGCTGTAATTTGACATGACGTGTGGGCTATGTTCTGTCATTAGTCAGGGAAAACGGTGAGCACCTGATCAAAGCAAAAAAAAAAAAAAAAAGGCTCAGTCTGCCACTTCATTTATCACAAGGCAAAGACAACGGCTTCCCTCTTGGCTTCTGTCGCTTAACAAAAATCTTGGTTATATGACAAACTCACTTTGTGAATAATTTTAGCTCGACTCCCGGGTCGCAGCACACCGAGGTGCCAAATTGCACCATTATCGATATCCGTACCTTACCCAGAATTTTAGCTGGCTAAAATGACGGCATACTGTAATTTAAAGTCCCGCCCCTTGGGAGCAAAGTTGTTTGAAGTTACTTGACGTCTTGCTTTATACGCATCATCAAGGTGCTACGATCACATTAGAAGTTACATTTGTTTTTGTAATGTGAACGAGTACATATTAAGATGGGATTTATCAAAAAACCCAAACGTAGCCTTATTCATATATTAGGCTTTACAATTCAGATTTGCACTAATGATGTGGAAAAGTATGCTGTAAAAGTCAAACACAAACCACCATGATGGATGACAAGACCTTTTTTTTTTTTTTGGCCTCTTAATATTAAATTAAAAACTGTTGCTTGCAATGTTTCATGGCTTGAAGGTTTCATGATGATGACTGCGTCACGTACGCGGATAGCAAGGGTACGGCGTGCTAAAACGTGGGAGTTCTGAGGCAGTTGCATGGTTTGTCATCTGCTGAATAGTCAACTGAATTATATACAGTCGTACTGGCCAGAGGTCGGCACGCAGTGGAATTCGAGTCTATATGGTGTGAGCACTGTGGGTAATAGCGTATGTGTGCAGACTCAGCGGGGTGGCTCCCGCGCCTGGCAGAGGCGCTTTAATACACACTGTTTGAAAACAGATAAACAAACAATCTCGCTTCGACAGAGACAAGGGAAGACAAGTTGTGTATTGTTTTGAGTGTGTGTGTGTGTGTGTGTGTGTGTGTGTGTGTGTGTGTGTGTGTGTGTGTGTGTGTGTGTGTGTGTGTGTGTGTTACTTACAATGCCATCAAACATTGTACATCAAACAGTAGTATTACTAGCCTGATGTTAGAAATCAGAAACCATGGCAGCTGTGTCCAAGACATGAGCACACTAACCTGTCCTAAGACTTGCGGGAGACCGTCAATTCATTCACTGAGCGTGGTAGAATTACATTCAGAGTGCTATCAGGAGGGAAACCAGGTTTAAACAAATACAAAACAAGTCTAACTATGATTAATTTCAATAGCGCCACTACTCTTGCAAGACACACAAAGGGAGAGGGAAAACACTGAATTAAACCTTTACCGCTGGGGATAAGCAGAAACAGGCAGTAAATATGCATTTATTTACAGCACACATACATTTGGTTAACGGCTGTAGTGGAAAAGGAGGACCGCTGAAGTTTACTGAATCATATAGAGGAGGCGCCGGCGATAACATGCAGTGTGTTCAGTGCTCCACCTAAGCCTTGACGATGGAATGGAACCATAAGCTAGAAGAACAGCGCGGATCTAGCTCAGCATAGTCCGCTTCTGTCCTTCCACCTGAAGTCTCAGTTAGCAGCGGGTTAGCTTAGCGCAGCTAAATTCAGCTTCTATAATGTCCAAGCTTCTCAACTTACAGTAGCCAAATTTAGATGTACATTAACTCACAAAAATGTTGGACTTAAGCAGTGAAATTTCAGGATGAATCCAAAATGCACAGTAACCCTTACCGGTGAGCTTAATTTAGTTATCCCTAAGTGTCAAACTGTTTCATGGTTCAGTACTTTTTGCTAGGGATCGGCGAGTAGTGGTAACAGGTATCGGTATTGGGCAATACTGGCCTTATTTTAAGGTATCGGGTACTCACGGAAGCTGCCGATACCAGCCACTGAGACTTAAGGCAAGGGAGGAAAAAAACAGAAGTCAAATAACTTCTTAGCAGTTTTTGGTGCTACACTGCGGCAGATTGGCACATTGGTGAATCATCATCTTTATCAAAATGTTCCATTGTGATAAATGAAATTGTATAGATCAAAAGAAGCACAAATATCTGTACTTGGTATCGGTGAACACTCAAAGCGTGAATATTCATATTGGTATCTAGCGTTGAAAAAAAAAAGTGGGACCGAACATCCTTACTTTTGCTCAACTTATGGTTCTGGTACAGGGAGCTGAACGGCAAAATTCACAATTTCGATTAGTGGATCATCAGCCTGTTTTGAATTTTGCTCTTAAAGGGGACATCATGGCAAAAAAAAAAAATCTTTACAATTATAGATGGTCATTTGATTAAAATTGTGTTGGAGGAATCAGAATAACACAGATGAATCATTCATCTCAGAACTCTGCCAGTTTATCTTATACCGTCCTGTGCTGTCCAATGAAATTAATGTCAACCTTCCCTCAGGTTTGCATTGTGAACACCACGAGGCCAAAGCCAGAAAACAGGTGAACTGTTGAAGTTCGCGATGGCACCTTGATGTCATTTTCAGACAACAGTAGAGGGCGATATTTTTTTTTTTTTTTTTTTTTTTGCACAATAATAATTATTTTATTTTGGGGAGGTGCGTGGAGTTTACTGTGTTACCCTATTTGGGACACATTAAGAATTAATATTCCACCTGCACAGTTAAAGTGCATTTTAGTTTCATGCTGAAATGTCACGTCAGCCCAAATATCCCCCACGTTTTGGAAGGAATCGTCAAACCCTGTCAAAGTGACCATGTTTATCACTCGCTCCTCGAAGATCTTCGTAACAGCAAAGTCAAAGGGTGGCGTTGTCTGACACTAAACTAAGTAAGCATGCTAATCTCTACAGTGGCAAGAGTAGGCGTTAGAGGGAGCACTGATTCCTTCACTGGTGTCACATGAGTATGTCCAGGTCGTCACCGTGGTCATCTTCCTCGGTTACCCGCAGCGATAGCACCTCCTCATTAAGGAACAGGCCGCTCAGACGCTCCTTGCGGGCCTGACGCTGTTCCTTCAGCTGACGCTTGCGCAGAGCCTTCTGCTGGAGCTTGCGCTGCTTCGAACGTTTCTATAAAGAGGCGAGGAGGTGACCAGAGACGCTTAGCAAAACACATTTGGGCCGGCGTATTAAAAAAGCAGTCTTACTTTGGAGTCTCTGATGCGTTCGGCAGCGCTGGAAAGATTGCCATCGCTGTGGGCTCTGCTAATGTTAGCAACACTGCTTCCGCTGCAGGCGGAAGCTGTTCCACCTGGAGGACAACACGACAGGAAATTTGTTAATATAAAAGCTTGACCAATTTAAAAATGGGTTAAATGTTAACAGAACATTGCTTAACTTCAATTGTCAAAATCTGAATCGCATATTTCTGTCGCCCTCCATGAAAGCAGACAGATGTTTTTTTTCTTTTTGTTTAATCAAATAAGACTTTTGCAAACACCGGCTTTCACTTTGAAAAACAATGATCAAAATGTTTACCTACTTTTCTGGCATTTTAAAAACCAAAACAGCGACTACGATTTTTCTGTTCGAAATAAGGTCTTGTTTATGAATAAAGTGATGGAATTTTTTCAAACCAATTCATCTATTAAAATAACAAACAAACAAAAAAACAGATTATTCTATTGTTAAAATAGCATTTAGTTACAGCCATGCATGGGCGAGATGGGAGTGCATGAGTTTTAAATGTTTATAATTACCACAACATCTATGCTAATGTCTGTTAGCCTGTCCATGGGATTTCACATTACATATTAGCATTAAGATAGTGAAGATTCATGAGACAAAATTATAGCACTACAGCAAAAGTTCGAGCACTAGCGGATTCCCGTATCTGTATCTGTAGATTTTTTTCTATACAGTATTTTGATTGTTATTGTTTTGAGTGTGTGTGTGTGTGTGTGTGTGTGTGTGTGTGTGTGTGTGTGTGTGTGTGTGTGCGTGTGTGAATACCTGTGTGTGAGCGCAACTACCTGAGTGACCCTGAAGCTGGTCACCGTTATAGAAAGCATCTCCACAGCATCATTGCTCCATTAATTAATGAGACAATGCGCTGGCAGGTGGCTTCACGGCGCACACTGGTTAATTGGCCCCTTTCTTCCCACTCTCTCCTCCTTGAAAATCAGCCATCGCCTCTTCCCACTGCCTCATTCCCACCTTCTACCCCTCGCTCTCAGAAACGTGCCAGTGGGCAGGCAGCAAGGCAAGACTTGGTAAAATAATGATAAGAATGGATGGAGATGAAGGGAAGGGAGTTGCAAGTTTTCCCACAAGCCTGTGATGGTCAGGGAACGATGTTCGCCTTCGAGCGCTGTACGGCGCAACGGGAGTTTACTTAAGACAGCCGCAATCTGAGCAGCCAGTGCTGCAGACGTTAATGATGTGGGGAGGGGGACAGAACAATACAATGACACGTTTTGGCTCTCTGAATAAGTCAGTATATGGAAGGGGTGAAGACTCAGACTTATTTCAAAAGATGGGGGAAAAAATGTGCTTCACATTTATCCTTGTACTAAAACCACGAAGAAATAAAGAACGCCGACTGAGCAAAGGTTGTGTGCGAGTGTCTTACCACATCACTGGGAAGGTTATGCAGATCATCAAAGGGACTCTCCAGTGTGTTGGTGTCCACGTTCAGGATGACCACATCCTCCAGGGACCGACTGCGCACTCTCTACAAGAGGAAAACATCCCAGAATTAACCAATTTTCTGTGTTCAATTTTCATTTAACACAGTTTGGAGCACAATTCCCAATAAGTCATAACAACAGTAAGCAGTATGACACAGAGGCGAACAAATCTTTAGAGCTGCGCTTTGGCAGAATTGGAAACCTATGAGAATTTCTTCAACGATGGCCGCTCTACTACAACAAATAAGGCCCCCATCTTAAAAAACAGAGGAATACAGAAAAAGGCGAGTTTTTGTTTCTTTGTGGATTTGAAAAGTTGTGCATTCAGATTTTGGAAATAATCTTAGAGAGTATGTGACCGTGTGCGTGTGTGCATAATAATTAAATTGACCAAGAAATGGCATTGCCATTATATTTTAACTCACGATGACCGATTCGATATGACATTAGGCTTCACACTAGGACTATAATAGACATAGTTGGTGGGGGCCAAAAATTGATGGACTTGCAACACTGTAACCACTACGTTATTATTCATTCATGCACTTTTAGACAGGAATGACATTTTCAACCTTCACTTGGTATCCTGTTCTATAAATGAACAACCAAAACAACAGTTTTTTAAAATTATTATTATTATTTTCAAATATGTCAGGTGTACAGGGTCTCTCAGTAACAGAGTATAATTTATTTCCAGATCACCACTGAGGTGTCAGTGATGAATGTACTGACCCTTCAGCAGCTCAGGGCCACGTTGCACAAACCACCAAGGGATTTTCCCTCTCTCAATAAATAAAATTTAAATGATACAATAAAAAGTAATATAAATGTAGATAAAGTATTTAGGTCTTGAATTTTTCAAATTGAGAGCTGTACATACTCGTAGTTGCAAAAAGCATATTACCGTAACCCTTTGAATTGGTATTATAAGCTTAACAATCCAAAATATGAGATTTTTTTTTGTGTTTGTATGGGAGACGTTTACAGAAAAAAGAAGGCCTTTAAGACGGGATGTTATGAACAGTAAATGTCAGCTGGGTGTTGTGATGATGAAAGGCTGACAGTGTTAAAGCATCCTGTTGGTGAGCAGTGAAACATGGCATACTCCCAAAAATCCACCGATGTTACTAATGTCTTGACATTCACTCGACATTCCTTTTTAAGGCCCATGCAAAAAATAAATAAATAAAAAAAAAAGGAATAATTTAAAATGTAGTGTTTTGGCTCATCCTGAAACCAGTGGCAGAATTTTTATAGTAGTAACTTGATAAATTTATGAAACAAAACAAACTATACAATATAGTTCTGAAATTGCCTGTTCATATTAGTTTTTTTACTGTTCATTTTACAATGAACACCTTTTCATGGAACAGTGTTTGTTGGCAGGGTTACAGGTCATGAAAGTCTGGGGAAAATTTAAGAACTACAATGGAGTATTGTCCTTCCGCTGTCTTACAATTGACAATGAAAATGTGCAATCAGAACATCTTTAGTGTAAAACACACACACGGTGCCAGGAAGAATGGTGGCGAACGAGGATATTTGAACGTTACTTTCTCCTCAGCACTAAAATCTCATGCATCAACAACACGGTGATTCTGTGCTACACTGCATGCATCCTGATGGCAACAAGCTCAACAATTATTTCAGTGTGATGCAGGATACGTGCGTGTGTGTGTGTGTGTGTGTGTGTGTGTGTGTGTGTGTGTTGGAGGAGCATAGTGTGCGGTGTGTGAATTTTCTAGTTTGTCACTTTTGTGACAGCCTGTGCAGTGGAGGCTCACGTGCTGATTTGGACTAATTATGGAGTGGCAAGAAAGGGGGTCTGTCATGGATGCAGAGTGTGATAAATACTGCCACTGCCACAACTGTCAGACGACTACCTCGCAGGCAGGCACGCACGCACATGTACACACACACACACACACACACACACACACAAGCTCGCAACATGCGCTCACAAACAACGGCAATGGCTTGCCCCACTGAATAACAAAAAGGTTTATAACAATGGAGTTTGTTTGTGTTTCCGGCCTTTTTTCCTTCTCTCGTGTTCTTAAGATGACGAGAGAAAGAGTATAAGCTCAAGAAACAAAAAGGAAAACCATTGTGTCCAGTTTTCTTTAAATCACCATGTATTTTTTTAACCAAATATAGCAGTGCATAACATGGGAAAAGTAGTTACATCCTTGCTTCATCAAGAGTAAATTAGTGCAGTCAAGTAAATAAAACATGGAACTTATTGCATATAATTGCTTGATTTGCAAACTTTATCCATCTGTACACTGTGCACAATCGTACTTATACATAATGATGCATACATATTTGCATACACTTTTATGTGCGTATGATTAGCAAAGAATTACCTAACATACCTCCAGCAGACTAAGATGAACTCCCACAAAGTATGGCATGGGGGCACTGCAGATGGAGAGAGGAAAACAATTCATCAGAACTCACAATCAAAGGGTAAAGTTGCTACAACACATTTCACACATCCATCGAAAACTGTTTTATAACGGCCAGTTTACTTTATGCATGTAGGGGGGAAAAACTCATTTGGATTTTGTGTTTTCAGAGGTATCCAAACTGTATACAAAGAAATTTAATGCAGGGGTCGAATATTCAATTTACTTACACTCTCAATAATTATTGGCCCCACTGGTTAAGATGTGTTCCTTAACTTCTCATAAAAGCAGGGGTTTTTTTTTTTACAAATAATAAAGGACCAAAATTTCAACAAAAAAAAAAAAAAAAGAGAAAAATCTTTCATTAAAAAAGCAATTTAGTCAGTGCGGGCAAAAAAAAAAAAAAAAAAGAGTTCCCGCATAAAGAAAAAAATCTTTTACATCAAATCATGTGTGCCACAATTATGCACCCCTAAGACTACACAAGCCCTTTTTCCACCAGCGACAACAAAAAGATCAAAAAATCAAAAAAATCAAAAAGCACCGAGTCTTTCACAGGATGGGAGAAAAGAAAAAGGGCATTCCTCTTTGCACAATCCCCTAAATTATCCAGCAACCTGGGTCCTCTCCTCTGCACTCTTGAGCTTTCTCCATACATTTTCAACGGGATGGAAATCTGCGGACTGAGATGTCCATTGGAGGAACGTGATTCTGTGTCTGTTGAATCGTTTATACAATTTTGAGTATGAGCGTATGCTTCTGCAATAAAAAGGCTTTTAACACATCTTAATCAGCGGTGCCAATAATTGTGGAGCGCAATGTACGTACTGGACCACTGGAGGTAGATGAGTATGCCTGAGCTGTATGAAGTATTCCACAAAAAAGGGGTTCAAGTTAAACAAACAAAAAGTACACATAATCCAATCTTCTCGAACTTTATCAATAGCATTTCAGAACATTAACAGTTCTTCAGAATGTGAACAAGATTGTTGACCTGGTCCTCCTCTCTCACCTCCCCGGTACTTTGCATACTGCTCAGCACATCTGGTCGAGTAATGACGTCTTGAGCACGGCAACTATTTCTGTGCAGTCAAGACGTGGTGGAGTGGTTCTGTGCTGCACCAAAACATTCCATTGTCTATTTTTCCTTGACACCGGCTGTACTCATCACCAACCTTTCCCTTCATGGCAGGTTTTGAAAAAGACATGACTGGGACTTTATCTTTTCCTTCCACTTGGTGTCACTTCAGAATTACGATTTGCCTGAAAGCTGTCATGAGCCTGAGATACGGGCGCCCAGAATTGATTGGAAAATATATATGTATATATACTGTATATATCTATATATCTATATATACTGTATATATCTATATGTCTATATATATATCTATATAT